CCCCCCCCCCCCCCCCCGCCTTTCCCTTTGGTAACCATTTCTTTTCCATGTCTGTGAGTCAATTTCTGTTTTGTAAATAAGTTTTTACGTTCTACATATAAGTGATATCATATGATATTTATCTTTCTCTTTACCTTTCTACTTATTTCACTTCCTGTGATAATCTCTGTTTCCATCCATGTGGCTGCAGTTCCATCCATGTGGCTGCAAATGGTGTTATTTCGTTCTTTTCTATGTCTGAGTAGTATTCATTGTATATATATACCACATCTTTTTTATCCATTCGTCTGTCAATGGACACTTAGGTCACTTCCACGTCTTGGCTATTGTATATAGAGCTGCTGTGAACATTGGGGTGCATGTATCTTTTTGTTTGTTTTTTAATTTATTTGGTTGCACCAGGTCTTAGTTGCAGCAGGTGGACTCTAGTTGTGGCTCGCCGGCTCCTTAGTTGTGGCATGTGAACTCTTAGCTGCAGCATGCACGTGGATCTAGTTCTCTGACCAGGGATCGAACCGGGCCCCCTGCATTGGGAGCACGGAGTCTTAACCACTGTGCCACCAGGGAAGTCCCCTGGGGTGCATGAATCTTTTTGAATTAGAGTTTTTGTCTTTTCCGGGTAAGTGCCCAGAGTGGGACTGCTGGATCATATGGTAGCTCTATTTTTAGGTTTTTAAGGAGCCTCCATACTCTTTTCCATAGTTGCCATGAATTTTTAAAACCTCTTTATGTTATGTTTATTGCTTTTCTTTATGCCATATAGTTTTCCTCACATGACACTACTTTTTTTGCTAAATTTATCCCGTGGTGTTTTAGAATTTTTGTTGCTAATGTGAATGGGATTTTATTTTCTTTTTCCTTTCAACTGGATCTATGACAGGGAGAAAAACTATTGATTTGTACATACTTGTTTTGCTTCCAGACAACTTACTAAATTTTTCCCAGTTTTTAGTCTATTGAGTCTTCCTGGCATATAGTCAGATCATTTCCAATTAAAGGTAATTTTATCTCTTTCCAATACTTCTTCATTTTTTTTCTTTTGTAGTACAGGTTGTTAGGACTTCTGTTGAAGTTATTAAACCTCTCTTAGGGGTAAAAATCACGTCCTGCTTGGAGCCTTAGCCTTGGCCATCCTGGGTCAGTTGCATCGTCATGTTTGCTCTTCACGGCAGAAGCTGTGGTATCAAGTGACTTCGCAGCCAGGTTGTGCAGGCTCCTTCCTTGCCAGCTAGATTCTGAGCCCTTTAAAGTTGGGGACCATGCCCTCCCTGATTTTATGTCCCTCAGAACCCAGCAGAGAACAGGGCACATAACAGGCACACGTTGGACTCTCAGATGTATTGAAGGCGCCCCCATTCTCTCCTTCCAGAGCCCCCCACTTCTTCCTTGGAGCCACCTCTGCCCTGCGGACTCTACAGCAGATGACCAAGTGCTCTCTGCCCAGAGGGCCCTTCTCCCTTACCTGCCCAGCAGAATTTAGATTTGTTTTGAGCCTCTAGACCAGAGAAGTTCCCCTTCTCAGTCTTTATCAGCATCATCTGGAGGGCTTGGTAAAACACAGATTGTGGGGTAACCCCCAGGTTTCTGATTCACTTCGTCTGGATTGAGACCCAAGGGTTTTGCATTTCTAACAAGTCTGCATGCTGCAGGTCCAGGCAGTGCAGTTTGAGAACCGCTGCTCAAGACTGGAGTTGGTGACCTCGTGGGTGGAAGGCTCAGAGTTCTTTGCGTGAACGAGGCAGATTCTGGTGCTGGCCCAAGTTCTGCTCACGTAGCCGGGTCCCCTTCCCTTCACCGGAGGGGTGTCTGCCGGTCTCCGTCCCTCCACTGTGATCCCTTGCACCGAGTCAGGGTGTGTGTCGGGGGCACGCGGTAATCGTCTTTCACCGGGTAGGCGATTCCAAGTGAAAAAAGCATTGTCCAGGCTTAATGAAAACTCACTCCCCTTTCCACCCTGTCAGCCTCTGCACTTAGATACCTTCACGAAAACAGGATCATCCATCGGGATCTAAAGCCAGAAAACATCGTCCTGCAGCAAGGGGAACAGAGAGTGAGTGACCCTCCAGGGCCTGGGGAGGGCGGGTGGCAGCTGGGCAGGGGAGGAACCCGCTTTGTGTGTTTGCGTTTCTTTGCTCACATATTTGCTTTGATTCTCTGGGAATGCTTTTTGATTTGAAACGAAATTCAGCGAAAAGTTCTCGCTTGCAGATTGAGGCAGGTTTGAATGGACCACATTGTTAGTCATCCAAGTTGCAGGAATCTGATAAGAAAAATAATGTTTGTCTTCCAGCTGACACCCCCAGCCTTTGGGACTTGCACTTCTTGGAAATGGACTTTTTGTTTTCCATCTGTTTGAGAGCCTCAGCTTTTGAAGCTAACAGGGAGTCCATCTATAAGTTGGTTCTGGACGTGGCTGAGAGGAGGCATTTGGAGCTGGCACCTGCCCATGGGGCCTGGTCCAGCCTGCAGTTTCCCCAGAACTCTCAGGGACCTTTTCTGGGACCCCCTGCTCAGATGTTGGGTAACTTCCCCGCAGGGCTTGGCCCTGTGCTCTTCCTGGCCTTGTTTGTTCAGCTGGGTGACGGGCAGGGGCCCAGCTGAGTGGAATGCAGTCACTCAGCTCAGGGACTGTCTGATCTCTTCCATGCAGCTTCCTCCAGCATCCTAGGTGTGACCCACGCCTGTCCTAGCTCTCACCTTTGGCCCAGTTCACGCTCATTCCTGTCAGTTCTAAGATTTGAGAACTAAAGGTATTTACTGAGAAGGAGCTGGCCTGGTCCTTTGCATCTAGTTAGCAGTCCTGAGGGCTGCTGCGTGGTCTGCTAATTTTGACCTTCCTCTGGCAGTTGGTCGCAGAGCAAGGGAGAACATGTGCCTGGAGTTTTTACATTGTTTTCTTTTGCTTAAATCTACCATGTCTAGGGCATTCTCCTGTGTATTTGGTGGTCCTTTGGAACTTAGGGTCTTAGGATTGGTAATTCAGAAATATCCTCTGCTCTAACAGAGACATTCAGAATTCTTGAAGGACAGGATACTCTCATAACCGTCAGGTTTCTCCTCCCTTTTTTTTTCAGTTAATACACAAAATTATTGACCTAGGATATGCCAAGGAGCTGGACCAGGGCAGTCTGTGCACTTCCTTTGTGGGGACCCTGCAGTACCTGGTAAGAGACGGGGTTTCCATGTTTGTGTGTCAGTTTCTGTCCGATGGCCGTGTCTGTGGGGCTCTTCCTCCATCCTTGCCTTCTGCCATCTAAGTTTGCCAGCTCTTGGATGTTTCCTGGGTGCCTAGGAACTGTTGTATGAGGTCAGACTCATAATACATTCAAGTCAGCACGTTTTGCCAGCAGAGGCCTTATGGAGGGATGTGGTCGTCTTCTCATATCAAAAGGGCTCTGCTCCTGGGCCCTCGCATGAGTCCCATAACCTCTCATGCTGCAGTATTTTATCTGAGGACAAAGAGTTTAAACCAGGTTCTTGCCGGTCTGTAGGGGCCTCAGTTTCCACGCAGCATCTCGGGGGCCATGGAGGAGAGGGCTGAGCTTCGAGCTCCCACCCTTTCTTTTTATTATTTGGTCTTAATACTGCGGTTCTATTTGAGTCACTCATTCATCCAAGAAATATTGGTCAAGTGTAGTTTTAGAGTTTAGGAGGAAAGCAGGCATCACCCTGATACACAAATAATGAAGAAATTACAATTGTGATAAGTACTGCAAAGGGAAAGTGCAGGGTGTTATGAGAATATATTTTAGGAAGACCTAGCCTGGTCTGGGACCTGAAGGATGGCGGCGGGGGGGAAGGGGGACTGGGGGAGGGGGAAAGAGAGGAAGTTCCAGGTAAAGGGATAGGACATGGGAGACCAGAAGGTGTGGCAGGAGCCAGAGAAGAAGGAAGAGGGTATCTCGAGTTGAGGCTGGAGAGAGAGGTAGAGGACAGATTATTCAAAGCTTGTTGGCTGGGTTAGAGATTTTAAACTTTATCCTGAAACCTCTGGAGAGACGTGGAAGGTTTTTAAGTGTGAGAGGGATCGGGTTTACCTTTTGAAGAGACCACGCTTGGTACAGCGTGGAGGGTGAATTGCAGGTAGTGGGTGAGTGGTAAGGAGGCTGTTGTACTGAGCTGGTCCGAGCTGGCAGAGGGCCTTGAGGATGTAGAGGGTGGTTCAAGAAATGCCTGGAAGAGACCCAGCAGAACTTGGTAATAGATTGTTTGCAGATGATAACCAGTACATGTTGATTAAAGGAGTCTACAATTTAAAAAAGAAAAACAAAAAAAGGTTGAAAGCCACTGGGCTCGATGAGCTTAATTATCCTACGTGGTTCTTATATAGAAAGAGAGAAAGCAATTATTGAGGTCCTTTTGAGTGTATCCATACTTCCCACTAACCCCCCAACCAGGCAGTGGACTGCCGGGTTATCACCTGCCCTGGGGAGGGGAGGATTCAGAGCGGGGACTCGGGGCTGTGACTCAGCACGTGTGTCCACATATCGTGACCCACATATGGGTCCCGCCTGGTGTCCTCTGGACCCCTCGTCAGCTCAGCAGCAGTTAGTGAGGACCCCAGGCTCTGACAAGCATGCTCGGCCAAATTGTTCACTTGCGGACCTAAAACTTCTGTCCATAACCAGACACAGAGGCTGACCTGTGCGTCCCCACGTTTTTCCTCTTGGTTTGGACTTCGTGGTCCTTCATGACTGTCATGCCTCCAGCCAGCCTGAGCTCAGTCCTGCCTCCATGCCTTCGCTTGTCATGGTCCTTTCTGGGCTGTCTGCCCTGAGGCACTCTGATCCGTTCCCGTCCCACCTGTGCTGGGAAGCTCTCCTCGGTTGTCCCAGCCTCTCTGCTTGGGCAGCGGCCATGCATCTGGCCTTTCCTACCTGACTGCAACAATCCATCCCGCTGTCCGACCGCATGCTGTGGACCTCGCCACTTTAGGGGACCAGCTGGCATGCAGTGCCTGTGCTGTGAATGGGTGTGCACGGCCGGGATCACTTCCCTTTGTTGTCCGTGCCTGGTCTTCCCCTCCCTGCACAGTGCTGGGAAAAGGGTACACGCTGCACTCTGGTTCACCTAAAATACCCCCAGGCCCTTGTTTCAGCACCGGGACTGAACGAGGTCCAGAGAGACTTAGGTACC